CCGATCCAGAATAGCGGCAGCACGGTCAATTGACTGTATCCACGAACATGGTAGAATCATAGACTTCACACCGAGGGATTATAATCACACATGCGTTTACAAGTATTCCGTAGACGTTTACAAGGGGAAACCCTTCGCGTAATCCACCTGGTATGATCAACCCCGTAGGGCCCAGGCAGGACTATGGAAAACAATCCCCCCAAAGGGGGGTGCGACCGAGCCGAAGGTTCGGGCGTGAGAAGCCACACTGACTCTCTCCAACCAACACAGCCCGTTTACAAGCACATCCACGTTCACGAAGCACAACACACTGAATGACGAACGACACACAACAGACAACTCCACCCAGTCACTCAGTCACACCCGCACGTGAACACCATACAACCCTCAACAACCAATCACACACTGGGCCCGCGACGGGACGGAGCATGTCTGAGCGGGCGAGTCTTTGCACGACTGGAGGAGTCAAAGGTACCGCAGCTGGAGGCGAGGATTGTGAGAGGGACGGAGTCACTCGGACACCCAGGCCCCCTATTACTTAAGTTTGGTTTATAGGGGGCCTCTGCTCCATGGCCCAACGTACTAGAGCAGTGTGTTACTACAAAGTAGATACGCTGCAGTTTTAGACCGAAAGGGACGGGACGGAGAGAAGGTAGTACTAAGAGCCTGGCGACCGGGAGACGGCACGCCTCACAGTCAGCTTCCACGCAGTGGTTGCATGACTCCACAACTGGACGGGCGCAGAGCCCGGACGGATCCAACACACGCGGCTTGGGACAAAGCCATATAAAGGGGAGGACACCCCCCCGAGCAGAGCGTTCCGTCGGGAAGACTTGAATCTTCTTTATGCAGCGGAGTGAAGGCCAGGAAGCACGGTCTCGAGTGGACGAGGACATTTTATCGCCGCGTCGTGCGAGGCACCCTCACACTTTTACCTACCCTGCACAAGGGATCCATCCATGTTTGCGTGCTTACGAAAGCAACGGAGCAGGTCAGCTGACCACGCGCATCTTTTGTGTTGTTTGGCCAACACGTACACGTCAAGGGGAGACGTCACCTCGGCAAAGTGGGGTTTGCTTTTTCCCCTGCGGACATACAGAGTGATTGATCTGATCTCTGGATCGATTATTCGTCCTCGGAGACCTTTGGCGGAGACCTTCTATCTCTTTTAAGTGATGGAGCCAGCGCGGCTACAGCGAGCTCAGCCCGATTTCCTCTTGCAGCGGACAGCTTGAGGAACGTCGCAGAGCAGTTGGAGAGGTGTGAGAACCTCCCCGCAGTGGACGGCGGTGATCGTCTGGTAGGCATGATGCAGACGCTGCTTGATCGGTTTGCCGTCTTGGAGAGGAAAGTGGACGGCTTCGATCGTCGCCTAAGGGTCTCGTGAGTCGCGGCAACTTGGCGTGATCCCTGTTTGGGAAAATGTTGTGACTGACCATTTTACTCTCTAGGAATCGAAATGCGGGGGTTCGCGCATTGAACCAGTCCGCTGTGCAGCCGGATAGCCGACTGGCGCCCCTTTTCAGTTTCGAGACGGGAGAGTTGCTACAGGGTTGTCCGTCTACTGTCCAAGATCTGGAGTCGCTACAGGGTAAGCACCACATTAGACCGAATTTCCTGCGGCTTTGGTCTGACCACGGCTGGTGATAGCGGGAGAAGTCGACCGGCTGTTGAGACACCTGGACGAACCGTCCGATGGTCGCGTTGACGTCAGGAGGAGGCGCCTCAAATTAGCTTTCGGTGTAACAACACGGATCGTGTAGTCCATTCTCACTTTCTTCCTTTCCTGTCTGTTGCCTCAGTCATCCCGGTTCGCCGTGGCGTCGGCGTTTAAGGGGAAGTACCGCATCCAGACATCGTGATGCCTTCATCGTCACCTCGTGTATTGTATTTAATCACAGAGAGTGACAACAAATTGACGAGCACTAAAACACTGTGACACTTGTTAATGACCTGATGTGACCATAACTGCATTCTTCCCAATCACCCGGCTATGGATAAAAACCACCAGCACCAGACATTTCAACCCGTTTACAAGAACACTTCACTCTAAGAGACACTACACTGAGGATAACCCCGAGGTCCTTCATCACTACGAAAGCAATCCCCGTAGGGGTGCGACCAACCGAAGGTTTGGGCGTGAGGAGCCACACTTGACATCTTCGATTGGGTAAACACGTTCACAAGATACTCCACGCAGGAACAGGAGGAGTGTCCCGAAGGGGCATACGACGGGCAGTCAATAGAATGAACAAGACAGAGTCTTGACCGACCGAGTGCAACGAGGAAGAGAACACGATGTACCAGGCACGTACACTGTCAATACAAACTGTACATGCTGGGCCGCGACTGGAAGGAGCCTTGTCTGAGCGGAGCGAGAAAACCGACAGGATGGAGGTGAAGAGGTACCGGAGCAGGAGGCGAAGGTTGTATGTGACGGGAGGTCACTCTGTGCTTCGGCCCCCTATTACTTAAGTTTGGTTTATAGGGGGCCCATTGCCCACGGCCCAGGCCCAGCTCTAGACACCTTTCCGTCAGGATTGAGTGTGGTACTAGCAGTTCCGGAGAGGATAGAAGGGACTGAGTGTTAAGAGCCTGTTGAGTGGAACGGAGACGGCGCGTCACAAGTCAGCTTGCACGTAGTGGTTGCATGACTCCACAACTGGACGGGAGGAGACCCGGACGGATACTACAAAGACCTTGGAAAGGGATAAATAAAAGGGGACGATCCCCCGCCGGAGCGACTGTCGGGCAGACTTGCCCTTGGCACTTGTTCTCTTACTTTTCCGTCGGGATCACGGAAGTTCCATCGTTTTCTCCCCAGGAAAGGGACTTGATCCAGGGTAGGCTACCTTCTCTTCCCAGCGCACGGCGCGGGACGAATAAAAGTCCGGAGGGACCTGGTTTGCTTAGGAGAAAGCAAGCAGCAGAGTCAGCTGACTACGCGCACTCGTTACTGCGGAGACGTGACACGTCCAACACCTCTTGTTGCATCCGTGGGGCAGGTGCACCTACGGTAATCATCACCTAGGCACCCAACGATCAGGCAGATCTAGACCGCAGCTCGTTAGCACCCAGCAGTGCCTTTTTTGGCCCTCGTTTTGCTTCAGCGATGGAGGCCGCGCAGGACCTTCCACAGCCCTCTTTTCCGCGGGTGGCGGACAGTTTATCGGCTTTGTCCGAGGAGTTCTCACGGTGTCAAAATCTTCCGGCAGTCGATGGCGGTCTTCGACTCGCACAAGCGCTGGAAGCCATGCGCAACGATTTGCGGAACGAGATGCGCACGATTAACAGGAAGTTGGATGATTTAGACCGTAAAGTGGACGGCCTAGACCGCAAGGTCACGGTCTTGTGAGCATCGCTCTGCTGTTTTCCCCGATGCGGGTAGCTAACTGGATCTTGGCAGGGACAAGAACTTCACGGCGCGTATGCAGAACAGCATCGTCGTTCACGAGTGTCGACTTGGCGCCCCTCTGCAATGTCCGCACGGGGAACCCGATTCCCGGCTGCCCAGCGACTCTGGGAGACTTGGACAATGTTTCTTGTGAGTGCTCCCCCCCACATCCTGGCAAACGTCTACTGACGGATAGACGGCACCAGCACAGGAAGCGGCCGACCTACTACGGGAGTTGGGTGAATCGGTCCCGAGAGGACTAGACCAGCGGAGGCGCCAGCTAAGACATGCTTTTGGAGTCAGGACACGGGCGACGTGACAAGGTTTTTTTTTCTTCTTGCGCTTCGGTTACGCAGCGACGGCGTTGATGGAATCTTTGTTGCATCGGCATGTCACGATGCCCTCATTTTGCGTTAGGCTAGTTACACGAAGAGTGATGATGGGGCAACTTGATGTGAACGAATACATGACCACCTGTGAACCATCTTGATATGACTCTGACCGTACTTCTTGTCTTGAACTGTTTACAAGAATGCCATCCAAGATAGTAGACCCCACAACCGTTTACAAGGGACAGACTTTCTGTTCACCTCCGGAGGACTCCTCTATGACTACGGAAGCAATCCCCCCGAAGGGGGGTGCACACAGGCCGAAGGACTGGGTGTGAAGAGCCACACTCGCCATCTTCGATTGGGTAAGGCGTTTACAAGGTGGTCGACTCCAGCAGAAGGAGGAGTAGGCGTCCGTGAGGGCGCACGACGGACACTGACTGAACACAAAAGCCGGGACGATTGACCAAGCGAATGTAATGAGCGAGGGAATAAAGTGACAAGACATGGACGCACAGAATGAGTACCGGGCACGTACTCAACACATACGAACAGTACATCTGGGCCACGACCGGAGGGAGTACCCGACTGGAAGGAGGACAAACGACGGGACGGAGTGACTTCGACTGGAGGGAGAAGAGGGTGTGACGGGAGGTCACTTACCCCAAGGGCCCCCTATATGCTTAAGTTTGGTTTATAGGGGGCCTCTGCTCCATGGCCCAGTCACTAGGCAGGTTACGTAAGTATCACTGCAGTACTAGGCCGAAAAGGACGGGACGGACTGAAGGCAGTGCTAGCAGCGAAGACGACCGGAGGGGAGGTCGCGGGTCCAATCAGAGACAGTTTGCCGGCACGGCTTACTTGACTCCACAACTGGACGGGGGAGAAACCCGGACACATGAGATACGGCAGTATATAAAGACCTGGGGGTCGCCCCTCTACGCAGATCCAAGCAAGATCTTTTTTGTCGCGAAGCAACAGGGTCCAGACGGTGAGTATGGCCAGTTAGTAGACGAGAGTCGGTATCGAGCAACGGCGTGTTTTCAGTCCCACTCGAAGAAGGTCGGTGGCCTTCTTTTTATACGTACACACTGATTTGGCCAATCTCGAGCGGAGCAACCGGAGTGTCACTCACACGAGAAGGAGCTCGTTTCTCCCGTCAAGGGGACAAAGAGGCTAGGCGGCCTTTCGCTTAAGTCCAAGTGGACGCGGGTCGTGGATTGTCGGACTAGTGTCCGGCCACTGCTCTCCGTCTTTATTTTCCCATCTTACGAAAGATGGCCTCCGAGGACTCGTTGGACTTTAGCCCACCTTATCGGCCCTTGCCGAACAGTGTTCGTCTGACGCACCGCCCAGGGGAGCGTGGTGTAGGTGCCACTGCTTTCTCTGAGTAGACCGCGGCCTTTTGGCTAAGGTATCAGCCGGCTGAACAAGAGTCGTTTGACGACGTCGTCGCACTGTTGCATCGTGTTATGCCCAAGGGGAAGGGGCTTTACGTCGCACAACGACAACTGGATGGTCAGCGCGTGGTAGAGGTGCTCTTCTGCTCGCAGGCCCGGTATCGCGTCACTAGCATGTGCTCAAGAGACAAGTGGGCTCGCAAGGGAGCCCAGGGACAAGTCGTGGGCATCACTTGGCCTTCCCTCCGACAGACCCGGGAGGTCTTCATTGCCGACTGTTTGGATCAGCTACGACGGATCCCCAAGGAACATAGTCTAGGTTCTCTCAAAGAGTTTCTGTTTGGACTGGACGCCTCGCTGGACCGAGAAAGCGAGCGTATGGCTCGGCTACGGAAGTCGCCGTCTGCCTCTGGTTGCTATATGGCAGGGAGAAGGATCGTGAGTATCCTGGGAAGACGCTTGTACTGGCTCTCGCTTGATTTGGGCGAAGAGGCGGCAGAAGCCGAAACCTGCAAGGGATCCAAGTCGGACACAGCGGGAGACACGTCTCGCTTTCCCAACCGGGACATGACGATAGCTTCACTTTTGAATTGAATTTGGCACGCTGCATGCAACAATCCGTGACCGAGCCCACTGCGCTTGACTTGACGTGTTTTGTACCTGAATCCTGACCAGTGTCACAAACCTTGTAGAACCACACGCGTCTACAGGCATTCTCCAGGCGTTTACAAGTACCCCTTCACCGTTTACAAGGGACAGCCTCGAAGATCACCTCCGGAGGACTCCTTCACGACTATGAAAGCAATCCCCCCGTAGGGGGGTGCAGGCGAGCCGAAGGTTCGACTGTGAGGAGCCACGCTGCAAGAATCTTCAATTGAGTAGACATGTTCACAAGGGAATCCACGCAAATACAAGAGGAGCGATTGTCCGGAGGGCATGCGACGGACACGACACAATACACACACCACGGGCAAAGAGTGAGTGGCAGAACAGATACCCAGCACACACTACCTCATTCAACCCACTCACTCACGTCCACCCCGCACCACCCAATCACACGCTGGGCCACGACCGGAGGGAGTTTTGTATGAGCGGAGCGAGATCTGACGAGTGGAACGAGGAACTGGACGACTGGAGGGAGGACACTGGTACGAGCCTGGAGGGCGAAGTCGGTGTGTGACGGGAGGTCACGCATACCCCCGCGCCCCCTATATCCTTAAGTTTGGTTTATAGGGGGCCATGGCACAACGGCCCAGTCACTAGGCAGATTGAACGCACGTGATTGCATGCAGTCATAGGCGGAAGCGACGGGGGGAGCGACGCAGTGCTAAGAGCGAATGAGCCTAGAGGGATCACGCCGTCCATGGAAAGACAGCTTGTGTAGCTTGCGTAACTTGCATGTATCCACTACTGGCCGGGGCAGACGCCCGGACAGAATGACACCGGAGGGTATAAAGCGGGCAAGGTGCCCCAATGTTGAACTCGGATGAGTTGTCTCCTTGAGTCTCGTTTCCTGCGTGGCAAAGAGAGCGAGAGAGATAGAGAGGAACGATGTCTTCCACCATGGAGGTTGATCCTCCTGCTAGTGATAGCGGTTATGAGTCTGTCGAGAGGATGCTCGCGAGATCCCCGGAGTGACCGAGAAGCATCAAGACTTTGTGTTCCATGCAAACATGGCGTTTGTCACCTACACCGCAGCCGGGTCGAAGACCCAGAGGAGTTCCACAGGTATCTACGAGAGTCGCTGGCGCCGAGCCTGCCACGGGTTAACCGCAGGACTGGACAGGCAGGAACAGTACAGGTCTACGGCTGCAAGGAACTGCATGAGGATGGCACTCCCACTATCATGTGATGCTCAAGTTCGAGCCCCGCGTGCACTGGAGGAACGCCCGTGAAAAGTTCAGGGTCTGGATTGATGTAAAGGATGGTCGTGAGGTGGACACGACGTCGATCAACATTCACAAGAAGCCGGAGAACGAGACGCCTGCGTACTTCCTGCAGTGCGTGCAGGCTTATATCGCCAAGGGTGGCGACGTCTTTGGCGAGTGGATCGGTCCCAAGACGACGACGGCGTCGGAAAAAGACAAGTACTTGGAGCAGGCGGTTGAGACGGAGTCCCGCGAGGAGGCGGAGACGCTGCTCAAGACGCATTTCAAGTCCTGGTGGGTACGTAACCATGCGAATTGCCAGGCTTTCTTGAGGACCAAGAAGGGTCCTTCTGCCAAACCCCATGCGCCTTCCTTTCCTCCCTTACCCTGGAAGGTGCCGAGAAGGTTGCTTCAGTGGCGGCAAAAGAACTTTGACGTGGCCCGGCTTGGTCGTCCGACATGTCTCGTCATCGTCGGTCGGCCCCGCTCTGGCAAGACCGAGTGGGCTCTTTCCTTTGGTCGTCCAGCTCACATGACGGGTGAGTGGAATATGGATGAACTCATGAAGCCGGACATTACACATGTTGTCCTCAACGATATCAAGTTGAGGGCTTTTCCTAAGCGTGACCTTGCTGGCTGTCAGGGTACATCACCGCCACAGGCAAGTACCGCGAGCAGCGGACCATTCGCATGGGTATACCAGTCATCTGGACTTGTAATGAGGACAATGATGTTACCAAGGACAAGGATATTGGTCAGTATTTGCTTGAGACAGCCGTGATTTATCGTGTGCCAAAGGGGAAGATGTTGTATGGGAAGTAGATACAAATCGAGAAGATGCATTGTTGTGACACCGCCAGCATCGTAGATCAAAATCGTTTACAAGCTCACCACATTGCCCCGGCTACCACCCTTCATCTCCAACCCACTCATGACTATGGAATCAATCCCCGCAGAAGTGCGACCGAGCCGAAGGTTCGGGCGTGGAAGCCACGCTCAACCATCTTCGATTCAGTAGACACGTTTACAAGCCGGTCTTCACGCGACAGGAGGAGCAACCGAAGGGCGACGGACACAAACACGACAACTTGCACACACAAACCCCAAACACATGCTGGGCCCACGAGCGGAGCGAGTTGAGACGACCGGAGGGAGGAACTGCCCTTGAGTGGAACGAAAGGGTACACGCCTGGAGGGCGGGTGGACTGTGTGACGGGAGGTCACTTGTCAGAAAGGCCCCCTATTACTTAAGTTTGGTTTATAGGGGGCCATGGCACAACGGCCCAGCCCCAGTCCTAGGCAGTTTCCACGCAAGTGGTTACATGCAGTCCTACACTCATCGGACGGGACGGGAGGGGGTGCGTCATAAGGACCAATCAGACGGAGGAAAGATGGTACGTCACAAGGTGTGGGTTGCGCAGCTTCCACACACCCTCTTTTCACGGTGGACGGGTTAGAATCCCGGACACGAGTGGGACACATACAACGGAGAGGCAATATAAAGAGGGCGGCGCCCACTTTCTTTCAATGAATATGGGACGATTCTCTTCCTCTTCCCTTTTCATTTTGCTCGTCAAATCACACGGAGTAGACGGACAGACAGCCCCCCCACCTGGTCGACCACAGACACGGAGGCGGAGACCTCGAGCCGGTAAGCGTTATGGCCCTGGGGGCATTCTCTCTCATCCACTTTCACTCCTGCACGGGGTGCGAGCCGGAAGCAAATGGACAGAAGTCCAGGGTTGAACCTTTTCATACGGAGTAGGTGCCCGGAGCAGCACTTGTCCTAAGGACAAAACAGAGTATGGGAAGATTGTCTCTTCTTCTTCTTACTGTCGGGAGATGAACATGACAGATTTATCTGCTTTATGATTATTCCAAGCGAGAGCATACGAGCAACAGAACGATGCGACATGAGGAGCACGCACACACACCAAGGGACGGCATAACGGGAGCAATCTCACACCGACTGGGTTCGGTAGAAGCACACTGATGCTTCCCCCGCAGCTCTGAGCACGCGGTCTAGGTTTTTCTTTTCTTTTTCTTTTACGAAGCAGTAAAAGGTTCCACTTGTCTTCTTTCTTTCATGCTGACGGCAAGACACCTTAGGTTGAAGCGGACAGGGTGAGGGGACGAACTCGACTGGAAGGCTACAGCAGGCGCTTGACTCCTTGAGCCTCTCTTGGGTGGCAGTGCTGGCTGCTGCACTCTCACCAGGTCTTTCGCCGTGTTCAACAACGTGAGAACAGCCACGAGGAGGGGCGGCAGGAGCTCACCTTGTCCACTTTCACGGAGAAGTGAGAGGACCCACACATTTGAACCAGTGATTGGGTTCATTATGAATCAGATAAAAGCGAGAGAGCTGACATGGAATGAGGATAATGGTACGAAGCAGGCAGCGGAGGACACGTGCACAAAGGAGTGCGCCGGCCCCCGGCTGCACGTCACCTTGTATTACCCCCAACCCGCCTAGGCTATACCCGGGAATAGCCTCACTCTTCGTTACGTGGACAGCAGCGACCGTGGAGGGAGCGTAAATTGATAAGACAAAGATCGAGTGACGGGAGGAACCACCAGGCAGGAGACGCGACATGGGAGCAGCAACGGTGAATATATTTACAAGATAGCCACACGAGATCATAGACCTTAGACACGTTTATAAGGTAGTCTATTGCAAGGGCTACTACCTCCAATACAAGATCATGACAAAGAGACACCCAGACTCCAACCCGTTTACAAGTAGACCACATCCGTTTACAAGTCGTAGTCACTGCCCCGGCTACCAACCCTCACTCCCAATCCCTTCCGAGATACGAACACAACCCCCCCGCAGGGGGGTGCATGCGGGCCGAAGGACCGGATGTGGAGAGTGGCGCTCACCATCTTCAATTGAGTAACGCGTTCACAAGGAAACACACAGAAGGAGAGGAGCGATTGTCCGGAGGGCATGCGACGGACTAACCACAACACCCCACGGGCAAAGAGTGAGTGGGAGAACAGATACCCAGCACACACTACCTCATTCACCCACTCACTCACGTCCACCCCGCACCAGCCAATCACACACTGGGCCCGCGACTGGAAGGAGCATTGTCTGAGCGGAGCGAGTCTTTGCACGCCTGGAGGGAGTCAAAGGTACCGGAGCTGGAGGCGAAGGGACAGTAGAGTGAGGGAGTCACTCATACTCTTGGGCCCCCTATTACTTAAGTTTGGTTTATAGGGGGCCATGGCACAACGGCCCAGTCACTAGACACCTTCCGCAGGTTGAGTGTGGTACTAAGCAGAAACGACGGGGGGGAGTGCATGCAGTCATAAGAGCCAATCGAACGGAGGGCAGATGGCGCGTCACACATGCAGGTTACGCAGTTTCACTGCAACACCACTCTTGGATGGGTTGAGAACCCGGACAGATCGACAACGGAGTATAAAGGCACGGGCTGCCGCCCACTCTCCTTTTCTACCGTCTCTTTCAGACCTGCGGTCGGCCACATCTTTCCACTTCTTGCCTGCGGCTCGCGGGACGCTTCAACTCGGCAGGATATTTTCAGGCAGAAAGTATTCACGTCTCATTGGAGAAAGAGATTTCTTTGACTCTACAGAGTAAGTCTTTTTTTTAAACTCTAGGACAGATATTCGGGAGAATACATCTGCTTTTACCCTCTAGACCACGTTGAACACTGTGTGTTGTGTGCAGAATTCACGTTGACAAGCAGTGGCTGCGCTACTCCTCAACCTTACAAAGCCGGCCGACGGAGTCATTTTTTGCCCGCTTCTCTTGCTGGCGCCATGGCGATGGCAGGAAGCCTCCCAGTGTACTCCTTCCACCGTGGGGAAGGGTTTGGCTCGGAGCCAAGGGGCGCTCTCTTGGATTGTGGTAGCCTTGTGGCGCTTCACCTTCGTGCATCACAGGTCAGGGACCACCTTGCCTCGGTGGCTGTCGCAGACATAGTTTCTGCGGATGACTTTTCCGATCTCTCTTTACAGGAGATGGATGGACTGGTGTCCGACTTGTTGTATGAAGTCGGTGACTTCCTGCGACATTGCTCTTCCTCTTTTATTTGGCTTGGTTCGCAGTCGGACTTAGAGGCGCGAGGAGTTGTCGCGCTGCATATTCCGGAGGTCATTGTCCTGGAGAGGGCGATGCTCGATCGCATGTATGTGACCCTTGCCATGCACACTGCTGATCATTCTCCCGAAGGAGGCCGGCTTCTCTGGCGGCAGCTGGCGGAACAGTTCCCCACTTGTTCTGGTGACGGGGATTATCCGGACACAGACTGGACGTTTTTTGAGATGACTAGATTCAGTCGAGACCAGCGCGAGTCTTTAGCCTTGTGGTTCAGCCTGCAGACGTTGGAAATGGTGGCGCGTGTCGTTGGTAGCATCGATTGTGAAAAGTGGGCACAGGACGTGCTGTGCAAGGTGGATGGTAGAGTGAAGGAATGTATTCTCGGTAGACCCGTGTAGGAGGCACCTGTGTTCCAGTGCTGTTCTTTCCTAATCGAGTAGTCACGATGCCCTCACCCTCACTTTGATATCCCTGCGTGAGTCTGTGTCTAGGGCTGTATCCAGCGCCCACCTCCTTCAGGCTTGACATCACAGTGTACAAGATACTCTGTAGACTTGTTGATCAACTCGTCACCGACAGACATCACCCCGGCTGTAGAGTGGAGACCTTTTTTCCTTTCACAAAGCGTTTACAAGAGAGCGACATCGAATAGCATACTAAACCCGTTTACAAGGAACAGACTTGAAATCCCCAATCCCTTCTGAGATACGAACACAACCCCCCCGAAGGGGGGTGCACACGCGCCGTAGGTGCTGAGATCTGACGAGTGGAACGAGGTCAGAGGTACACGACAGGAAGGAGTGGACACAAAGGGACGGGAAGTCACTTTGACCCATGTGCCCCCTATTACTTAAGTTTGGTTTATAGGGGGCCATGGCACAACGGCCCAACGTACTAGGCAGGTTACGTAAGTATCCATGCAGTCATAGACCGAAAGGGAGTGGAACGAGAGAAGGTTGTCATAAGAGCTGGGGGAGGGGACCGACAACGCGCGTTCATTGGGTAGCTTCCAACGCAGTGGTTGCGTACACATCCACTCTTGGACGGGGTAGACACCCGGACAACTTTACCACACCGGAGGGTATAAAGGCACGGGCTGCCGCCCACCCACTACAGAACCCAGACGGTTCTCTCTTTTTTTCCCTTCGTCAGACCTAGGAAAGGTTTGATGCTTTACGCGTATGTCGACGCAGGACGCAACACGTTAGACGCTGGACGATACGCACTCAGTCGGAGACATTTGTGCAAGGGAGCACCGTATTTTCTGGACCGGCATTCAGTCGCGATGCCAGCACCAAGAGTAGGGTCATCCTCCCCCGTAAACAGCAGATGGTGCACTCGCTCCCAAAGGCGGTCAAACCGAATTCGAACCAACTCCAGTGCATCGGTGCTACCAACCACCGCGGCGAAGACCGCAGAAGTGCAGTGGGTATACACGCACAATAAACCCTCGGCCTGCTCAACAGTGACACTCGTCAACCTAGACGATTCATGCACCGAGCATGATCACAGCATCGACGAACAATTCCTTGTTCCGGCGCATAGCCTTGTAGAAGACACGCCCGGACACGACTCAAGGCCTGGTCGACAACGAGGCGACGCTCTCGACCCTCTTCCCCCGCGTCACTCGAGTAATGCCGGCAGTACGCAGAAATCAAACAGCCCAGGCTGTGATCCGCCTCGTTCGGGTAGGGGCTACAAAACCGCCGCAGCTGGTGCGGTAATGCCATGAGCCAGGGCCAGACGGGTACCTCCT